AAAGGTCAGGCAATCTCTCCCCCTCATAATTACCCAGTTCTAAAACAGGAAAGTGGTATTGATTGGCCTGGCTCGGGGCTCTGTGACTGGACGTGCCAGTGCCTTGCCCTGGCTCGGCTGGGCTCTAGGCTGTAAACTCGACACGCTGAGGGTTTATTAGATGTGTGGGGAGGCCTCACGCTTTCTCCTCCAGTTGCAGAATTGGCTGGTGAGGATTGAACTAGTCTTCACCAGCCATGGGTAGTGAGGATGGACTCTTTGAGGATCTGAGGGCTGCCTGACATGGCAGGTCTTCAATGAGTCCCTAGGCAATGCTCTAGGGGACCCAGAGGTGCACGGCGGAACCCACCACCAGAACAGAAACTCCCAAGACTTCGATGCCCCTGCCACCAAAGAGGAGGCAGGTTCCAACAGTTCTGCTACCTAAACACATTTGAGGTTCTAGAGCAGACCCCTGTGGGAGGGACATCTTCTGGTTGGAACAGCAGCACTAGAACTCTTGCTGTGGGGCGTTGGTGGGGACTGCTCCTGGCACACTTTTGTGCCCTGCCTGAAGTTTCCCCATGTGCCACACCTACCTACTTTGGTGGTGTATGCACACTGCTAATGCCTGTTGGTTTGAATCAAGAGATGGAAGAGGCCCTCCTAGTTCTACTGCTCTATATGACACTTTGGGCCATAGGAGAGGAATATCAATTCAACTGAAACACCAGAGAATGTCTCTCCCAGAGTGAGTGTATGCTTATCACAAGTCATAAAGCTTCTGAAAGCTTGCATTAAGGCGCCTATCACCTGTCAGGGGCATTTGCATGAAATCAATAATGGCTGCCCATCTATCTTTTCTGATCACCTTTCATCAGGCCGATTCATTAAGTCAAACAGTCATGGTGATTAGCTGGCAGAGAGGAGAAACCTGACATGTTAGGAATGCACACTGGACCAACCCCCTCCCTGACGGCCGGACTGCATTTTTTGCCTGACACCCTTACCCGTGCCGAGGCAGAGACATGACAAATTGTCCCCCCAGTCAATGCTGACAGCTTCTGATGATTAATGGTCTGATTATGAAGTGGTTTTACACATATAGAATTTACATCACAGAGAGTTAGAAATTTTGCCGTGTCACATACACCAAGGCATTTTGAAGGGTTTTACTATTTGCAAGGAAAAAAGAGGGCAAAATCCCAGCAAAAGCCATGTCATGTAAAATCAATACACCGGATCAATGCTTTATTAACAAGAAAATGTCTTACTTCACATTCCTGTGCGGACCTTTGTCTCCGGGATGTATGATGGAATGTCAAATCATATTGTGGTCCTCAACTTTCGGGCGTATTATTGAGTGTACGTGCAAGGCGTCCTGGGTTGCTTACAAGACACACCGACAGCTTAGCACTCAAGGATAATGGTGACCAATTATTGTGGAGAGCACTTTCCAAGGCAGCCCCAAGCTTCCTCTTAGGAAGCTATGGCCTTTTGTGTTCTCCCGCACTCCACAGACCTGGGTGGCGTTAATCATCAAATTACTAATGAGTGATGGCCCAAATTGCGGGCGGAGTAATGAATAGATGGCGGCAGGTCTTATTAGTCTCCGAAAACCTCCTGATTTATGTCGCGCCATGCACCGTGGAGTTACTCCACAGAAAACGATATCTACATCAAGAAATAATGTACTCTAATAAGTATTTTCATCTTAACTCGTGTCCCCGGGCCTCCGGGCTCAGTTTTTGTTGGAGTCAGGCAGAGCCGTAATAAAGCCCGATGGCTCCTTATAAAGCTTGTTAAACACAGTGTGTGCAGTCGAATGGAGTCCCGGCTGTGATTCATGCACTGTACAGGGTGCATGTGCCTCTGATTTATGGCCACGCACAGTTCATAGTCAAAATTACAATTTGAGGGATAAAAAGATTAATTACTATTTGTGGCCGGCAATTTCGTGGGGCTGGTGGATTGCAGCTGTGGAATGATAGCGCTCTATATCAGTTTGTAGTCAGCCATTCACAGATTATTAAAGCTTTGCAAGAGTAAGTGTTCCTCCTGCCTGGTCTGTGCTCAGGCAATATGCTAGACAAAAAAGGACCACAGGGATAAATCTGAGGCTAGCAATAGCTGGACATATGTCATAATTGCCAGTTTCCCATAAATCCCCGGCTGGTGAGGAACGCACCGTGTGATGCAGACGCCGCATCATGGCTCTGGTGATGGCTATATATGGCCCCAAGACCTGTCACTTCGGGACTGCACTGCCATTTTTACAATATACTGAGACACCCTTTGACTTTCTTCCAGTCTAATTATAGATTAGAAATAATCATTGCTTTTATGTACAAAAGAAAAGGTGTGTGTGTGTGTGGGGGGGTGTAATCTATTCCTTAAGGCAGAGCTAACATGCAGGGGTGCATGCCAGGAGGGAGGCACACCAAGTGTGAACCTTCAGTGAATACACAATGGATGGTGTAACAGTGACTGACTTGCTCTGTGTTTGTGTGTCCTATTGCAG